TCTAAAAGGTATAAAAAATTCTAGACTTCTTAAACTTGTATTTCCTCAAGTCAAGAAGGTGGGGAGGTTAGAATAGAATAAGTATGATATAATATAAGAAATAAGTTTGAGAATAATTTATAGGAATTTGGATGAGGAGGACAAACGGAATTGTTATTTCAATGACCATCTGCACAGAGGACTCTTGAAAGTCCCGCGGCAATATGGCAAACAAGCAAGCATGTGCGCTTGACATATTTAATATGATAATTCAATAAGATTAATTTATAAATCAAACAATAATTTAATATTTAAATGCATGAATAATTAATTTATAAATCAAACAATAATTTAATATTTAAATGCATGAATAAATAGACAGATTATTTATAAAAATGTATTCTTCATTTAATGAAGTATACGATGTTGTATGATTAACGCGTGTAATGATGTTGCCTATACAAGCAGGAATGTAGAAATCGATGGACAACTTTCCTGAACGATTAGATTCGCTGTCCACAGGAATGTCCGATCTGTTTCGTGTTAGCAGTTAGATTCACACCTATTAGTCACCGACTCCCGATTGATTAGCCGCCGATGGAGTACGCTGCGGATAATTAATAATGGCCACTGTGCCCGATGGTTTACGTGACCACGCATAGCCATTTATTATATGTATGTATAGCCGTTTGCACGCACACGCTGGCAATGTGAAATAAAATTCCGGCAAGGATAAATCAACGAATAATTCAGTTTAGGTACACAGTGATCATTGGATATATGGCCTCCGATCGAGACCGGACTTTGGAAAAAAGTTGTGAGTGATTATTTTTATTTATTTAGCATAAATCTTGCAGTTATTAGCAATGCTTATAATACGAAATATATATAGAGTTGTAATACATATTATCTTGTATTACATATTAGCTTATATGTATATGTGGATTATTGCAAGCCATACCTAATTAACGATTGCAGTGGGTATATACGATGCACTATATCTAATTCCAATTATATCTTATATATTTAAATGTCTGAGAAAACGTAGTAGGTTCTTACACAATTCTTTATTGTTAAAAGTACCATAAATCTGAGTTAGAAGACAGAATTTGATTCTCTTATTAAGGATCTTCCTACAGTTTAAAATATGCTCAACTGGTATAATGGAATTACAATGGTTACACATTTTCGGGTTGTCTTTGGTTATTAAGTATGAGGTCTGAGGAATGTGTGACCAATTCTGAGCCTTGTAAGAATCACTTGATCTTTCCTATGAATAAAAGTACTGGACTTTTATCTCCTAAACAATTCTCCAAATCTAATGAATGTTCGATGGAAGCATATTTATCCAGAGATCATGAATATAATTTATTGTACAGGTATGTAGGATATAATTATCATATGTATAAATGTCTTCGAGAAAATATAGTAAGTTTTCACACAGTTCTTGTTAAGAATAATATGGATCTGAATTGGGAATTTGATTCTCTTATTAAGAACCTTCCTATAGTTTGAAATATGCTCTTACAATTAGTTACTATTATCACCTACAAATAAGGTTCTATACAATTTCCTTGTAACCCTAATATTTTCTGAATAATCATCATGAATATAAAACTGATTCTTCAGTTTAAGAAAAAGAAGAATAAACATAGTTAAGACTTGATGGTAGACGGGTTGATCCTTTTGCCCGGGATATATTTTTTTAAGAGCTGGACAGGATTCTTTACACACAGTTTTATCTTGGACACACAACTTATATCAACATTATACAGTTACTTGAGGAAGAAGAATAAGAGAGACTAATAAAACGTTAACCGGAAGTGTCTAGGAAAACATACGTGGCGCTGATAGACGCGCGGTGTATAAAATATATTAACATATTCCAACAATACTCGACACTCTTTCAAGAATTAGTGAGGATAATTCGCGGCCATAAATCCGGAGATTATTTTATTTAAAACAAAAATTGTATTACGTAATGATAAAACCGAATTCGTATATGATAAAAACAAATAAGGCTTGTTTATTACGTAATATCATGACAAGGTGGTGCATAATATTCTTTTTAGTAAGGGTTTTCCCCATAAACGTATTTCAGCGCGCCTCATATTCTTAAGTGCAGTAACACAATTTCTAGAGACAATATTGCCCTCTCTTGAAAGAGATCCACTTTTCACCCTCGGTATGCATTACAAAAGGTTAGGCAGGTTTCGTTATTCGCCAGAAGTCTGAGAAGCCGTCCGCTGCCTTTGGAAAACGGACGAATGTTCCCAATCTTGTCGCTCGATATACAACGAAAACGAATTCTCTCAGACTTGTTCTGCAAGGGAGCGATTTAATGAAACGGGGAAAAAGGTTGTGAAACAAAAATCGCGGAGAGCTCCACGGAAAATATTCTCCTTGATTTCCAATGCTTAACAGAAATTCGCGTATTCTCGAGGGATCATGGACCGAATATTTTTCCCAGTTCTGAAGTTTCAGCGATCAATCTGCGCGAATCGAGGTAGCTTTGAATGGAATCGACTTGCATTCAAATCGAGTTTCATAAACTCGTTCGAAAGGGCTGTAAGTCCGAGTCTGTTGGGGGATTATCAAAATTTGCTGCTTGTAATATTTACCAGAAATTCAAAGAGAATGTTTAAGAATTGTTCTAATTATTTTGTGTTAGTGAGCTTCTTGGCGCGCAAGAAATCATATAAACTGTGGAGTAATATATGTTGCGGCCATAAATTTCTTTTGCAGAGGTCTACATCTCGCCGACAATAGCGGGCTCGAGATGTAAATTTCACAGCGCGATAAGGAAGAGAAGATAGGAGGGGATGGGGAGCGGTGGTTAGCTGCAGAGAATTCAAAATGCACGTGCCACGAATTAGGCAATATAAATGCGAAACTACACACGCGAGGATCCCCGAGAGTTTAACGATTTCCATGTTCAATTTTCCCGAAGGATAATTCCAAACTCTGCTTTAATTTTCTCTTTTACCCTCGGACGTGAGGAGTCACCCTGCTTTTGCAATATTCGTGCGCCGTCACAAAACCCTGGGATCGTCCGTCGAATTCAATCCGCGACAAACCGTTTTCGGCGAGCTCCGCGCTGTCAGTCGGCGGCAGTCGAATTAATTAAAAAACTTGCCTGCATCGAATGCAAGCTAATCGGGTAGCTCGGTAACGGCCGCGATCGAACCGGAGTAACATCGGAGGAGACCTTCTCGCACGAACGAGTCGTAAATTTCGTCCCACGGATTTTCTCCCGTCCTGCCCTCTTTTCTTCCCCCTCCCCCCCCCCCTTTCCTGGCTCGGCTCGCGCCGCGACACACATTCCGTTGTTGACGTTGCCGCCGAGGATTTAACGGCATGTCCGCATTACAACGACGTTCACCGGGGCGGACGAATCTTAGCAATTTCGATTATCGTCGCCTACGAAATTCGAGCAATTCCCGATCGGTACGCGACGTCGAGATACGATCAACAGATTTGTCACCGTGGCTTAATATACGACGTAGCACATCGCTTTGTCTTCTGCTGCACCTTTTGT